CTTAAGAGTGACGACTTTCTTCTCGGCCTCTTCCCTGGCCGTTTTCTCCTTCCAACATGGACTCCCATTCCTATGGAGCATCGTGCATATGGGCGGACCGTTCATACAACTCCTGCTCCAATAAAGTCCCTCGGACTAAATAGGCCTTAAGGGCTAAATGTAAACCGAAACTTGGCATCCTCCTTAAGACCCGAACGTCCTTTGACAGGGAGAATTATTGCACGACCATAACAGGAGTCGAAAGGACCTAAGAATTAAAGTTTCCTTATCAAGAAAAGCTGGGGGGACAAACTTGTCATCTTCAGAAAGTTCTTTTCTCGGGGAACAAGGGCCTAGTGGCACTCCCGATAACATCGCCTTGGCCTTCTCCCATTCTTCGGAGTCTACTTCCGAAATCCAATAAGGGAAGGGCCAAGTACCTCCCTCTTTCTCACTGACATCGTAATACTCGGTGGTCTCCTCTGCTTAGGGCTGGGAGGAGAGTGTTGCCTGTCCAGCTATCTCCACCACCAGCTCAACCGGCTTATTGCCTGGTCGGTAGGGTAATACAGGCTCAGAAGTCGAGCCGGCTGCTCCAGTTAGGGTGCTGGCGATGGTATCAACCTCCTCTACCCGGATGACCGATTGTTCTTCAGGTAGATGTTGCTCTAAAGGTGGGCTGACTCGGATCAACCCAGAAGCTTGAACCACGACGGGAGGGTCGCGGCACCGAGCGGACAACCTCTTAGATCTCTTCCCTACTCCCAGCTCAGTGGCTAATTCACCCATCTGGGACCTCAACTGGCACACCTCCTCAGGAGCTACATATCCTCTTCTTTTTTGAGGCCTAGTAGCAGGCCCTGGCTTCTCGCTTGCAGTCCCTGCCTCCTCGCCTCCAGGAAGAGGAAGCGTCAACAAGTTTACCTAGCCAGGTCGACCTCCAAAGGTAGGCCAATCGAGATGTTCGCCACCCGAAGTGATGCCGAATCAAACAGATTGCTTCTCTCTCGAGATCCAGCATAAGACCGAATCTTCTCCAGCTGTCTATTCTCTTCAGACTCTAAGGGACCCGTCCTCAAGGCGTCCTTGTTTATTTCTGACCATTTTGAGCAGGAGAGAATCTCATTCACTCCAGACACCCATATGAAATGCTCCTTCCAATCCTTATTAGACTCTGGAGCATTGGTAATCAATTTTAAGCCGCATGTATAGTGAAAGAAGAAGAGCAGATCCTTCTTGGTTGACTTGATGTCGACCAACTGCCCGAACAACTTCATGGAAGGCAAGACGCCAACTCTGGAGCAAATGACGATGAAAGCCATCAGAATTCCCACCGCGTTCGGAGCAAGCTGGGAAGGAGAAATCCCTGTGTCCAAGCATGCCTCCTTCACAAAGGGATGAAGAGGAAATTGAAGTCCATGTTCAAGATGCACCACGTATACAGGAACTCTACCAGGAGCATGATGGTAGATCGGCTTCGCCCCCTCTGGGATCGCTAATTTGAAGTCCTGGTGGATGTTGTAGAGGCTATAGAACCTCTCAAGACTCTCAGCAGAGACCTTCGGATGGATGGGACGAAGGAGGCTGATCCTTTCCTCGATGCGACCGCCAACGGAGCTTGATGAAGCCATTAAAAACTCTAATTGGAGAAAGATCGGGGGCTGGAGAAGAAACGTTACGAAAGCTAGGGCAAAAGACGAAATGTTTTTTTCTAGGGAAAAATACGAAAGGTTTTTTCTCCCCTTCTCTCCAAATAAATTTATAGACTTCCAATCGGCAGGTGGAGCTATCCCAAACGACCCTTAATTCTCTACTATGAAAGGCAGAGATTCAATAAAGGGGGATAGGCGTTTTTGAAATTTGAAATTTAGAACGTCATGTCCGTTCTGCAGTCTTACGCCACGTGGATCTCAAAAACTTGAAAGCATCATTATTGAATCCCCGACAACTGACAGACAAGCTGTCACGTCGTGTCAGGCAGCGACGTTCCAAATCTTCCCCTAGAAAAATGCACTCGAGTGACTTTGGCTTCAGCTTGTTTCGTTCATCACTCGGAATATAAACATACGCCTTGCATCCGAAAACCTTCAGAGTAGAGTAGTCAACTCTTTGTCCGACCATACTTCTTCGGTACATTTGAAGTTCAGCAGCTTAGATGGTGATTGATTAACCAAGTAGGCAGCATGGTTAACAGATTCAGCCCAGAAAAACTCGGCCAATCCTGCATGAAGTCTCATGCATCTTTCTTTCTCCATGAGAGTCCGGTTCATCCTTTTCACCGTGCCATTTTGTTGTGGAGTTTTCTTCACGATAAAGTGTTGCGTAATGCCTTCTTGCTTGCAAAATGCTCGGAATCGCCCATCACGATATTTACCTCCATTGTCACTTCACAAATACTTGATCTTCCGTCCAGTTTGGTTCTCTACTTCCGCCTTTCATTCTTTAAACTCCTCAAAGACCTCAGATTTCTCCCGCATGAAGTAGACCCAAAATTTTCACGAATAGTCATCCATGAAGGTGACAAAATAGCAAGCACCACCATGAGATTTTGTAGGTGCCGGCCCCCATACATCGGAGTGAATATAGTCAAGAATCCCCTTTGCACGATTCTCCTTATTTGTAGACTTAAATGAGACCTTGCATTACTTTCCAAGTATGCAATACTTGCAGAAATCCAATTTGCAAGTCTCCATGTTTTTCAACAGCTTCCTCTTGTGCAGTTCTTCCATAGCCCGCTCACTCATATGGCCAAGACGAAGATGCCATAGATGAGCCAAGTCTTCAGAGTCAATCTTGGAGTTCTCTTTGGAAGTTGTGAATACAATAACTTCACCTAAGACAATATCTCCTAGAAGCTTGTACAAGTTGTTGGGAAGCTTCTCTCCTCGCATGATCACCATCGAGCCCTTACAAATCTTGATCTTGCTTCCACCTAAGAAGTAGGTGAGGCCGCTTGCGTCTAGAGTGCCTAAAGAAATCAGGTTCTTCTTGAGTGAAGGAACATGTCGCACGTTGTCGAAAGTATGAATGATACTATCATACATCTTCACCTTCATTGTGCCAATGCCGATGACCTTGCACGCGGCATTATTCCCCATAAGGACTTCACCTCCATCCTTCTTTTCATATGTATTGAACCAAAACCTGTTTGCACACATATGGAAAGAGCAACCTGAATCAAGAATCCATAAATTAGAAATGGTTTTACCTGACGTAACCGAAAGAAGCTCAGCACTGTTCTCCGTGGCAACTTCAGCCAAAGAGGTGGTTTCAAATTTCTTCCCTTCTTTCTGATCTACCTTGAATTTTCTGCAGTTCTTCTTGAAGTGGCCTTTCTTATGATAGTAGTAGCACTTCTTATCCTTGTGGCTCTTGAATTTAGATCTTCCACGGTTGTCCAACTTGGCACCTTTCTCCTTTGGTCGACCCCGATCGTTCAACCCCTTGACGAGTAGGCTTTCATTTTTCAAGTCAGCTCCCGTGCTCTTGTTCATTTTGATATGAGAGATGATATCTTGAACAACCTCTTCAAATTGAAGAGTCTCCTTGCCAAACATAAGTGTGGTCCGGAAATGTTTGAATGACGACGGCATGGATCGTAGCAATAGCAAAGCTTTATCCTCTTCTTCAAACTTGACCTCCACTCGCAACAAATCCGTTATACAACGGTTAAACACATTAAGCTTTATCCTCTTCTTCAAACTTGACCTCCACTCGCAACAAATCCGTTATACAACGGTTAAACACATTAAGATGCTCCATAATATCATCTCCATCTTCCATACAAAGATTAAACAATTTATCTTTTAAGAAAAGTTTGTTAGAGAGAGTTTTACCCATGTAGAGATTCTCTAGCTTCTCCCATGTGCCCCTTGCAGTAGTCTCCTCAATCACATTGTAGGTGACTTCGTCGGATAAGTGTAGCTTAATCGAGCTCATCGCCTTGAGGTCTACCTTGTTCCAAGCCTCCATAGACATCGTCTCTGGCTTGTGCTCAACCCCCATAGTGCACATGTGTAGATTTTGCTGAATCAAGATATTCTTCATCTTGCGCTGCCATAGTGTGAAATTGCTTCGCCCATCAAATGGCTTCAGCTCAACCTTCACACCGCCAATTATCGACTTGTCTTCAGCCATTAAGAACACCACAATCATGCTCTGATACCACTTGTTGGTATTGACGAATCACAAAACTTCTCAACACCTCTTCATAGTCTTGTTCTTAATGACAAAAAGATAAAAGACAATCATACAAATAATGGACACAATGATTTATGTGGAAAACCCAAACGGAAAAAACCACAGGTTGAGCTTGGAGCTCGGATGATACTTCACTATAATGGAATCAACAAATGGGTACAAGGCACACACGGCACACCCAACAACGCCGACTTCCACACAGTCCTCACACACCCTCCTTTCTTAACTCAACACTAGAGATCTCTACAACACAAGAGACTTTCCTTCACTCTAACTCTCTATACTTTCAAGAGAACAAGTGGAAAACTTGGGTGATTTCGGATGATCTCTCCACAATGAGAGGATGCCTATTTATAGGTCTTGATGAATCTTTTCATCTTCCAAAATGCTTGGGAATACACAAATCTATCCAGATTCGAGTAGGGTACTTTGACTGACCATAACTCCATCAATACTACTTTGTTTCCTGTAATTCAAAGCTTGGAGTAAACTATACACGTACCTCTACAACTTTCATGTAGATTTCCGAGCTAAATAATGACCGCATCATGCCCGAAAAGACCATGCAAAATTGTATCTACATTATGCAGAAAAACTACAGCAATAAATGAGTTGGAAATTGAACCAACTCCAACAGGGTGTCACTGAATAGGAGGGAGGGAGTTCTTTCGCAAAAAAGAAAAGAAAGAAAAAGAGTATTTTGGAAAATTTATTCTACTAACGAATATAATAAGCATATGTAATTGTACTTTATACATTGGGGTTTGTATATAGAAGTAAGCTGGTTGAAAAAACGTAGTCGTAAAACTTCATGTTTATAAGCAAAACTCCAAAAAATTAAGATAACGAATGTGGTTAACTGCATGCTAGTCCCTTGAATCGTCCTTAGTTGCCACACAGCCCCTCACATATAAGTATTTGCTTACTAGTCCCTTAAATCTTCAATTCCCTTGCAAATTCTTTTCTCTATTAGATATTCTGTTAATATTGTTAACTCTAGTTGGGTTTAGCCTTGAACCGACATGGAAAGCTATTTAACTGCACACTTGAGAGGGGAATTTTACCATTAGAACAACTCAAAACTGGATTTGAGGAAGTTACGACTATTGAAGAAGATCTTTGTTAGTGGGTTTGAGTTGCGGTTTGTAGGTTTAAACTCATTGTTAAACGGGTCGGTAAAATAATAATTACAAATACTACCAGATATAACGGGAAATCCAGTCATTTCTATTGGACTTTATGAGATTTCACAGTAAAAATTAACGTCACCAAACAAGAGAGATGGATTTGCCATAAAATTGAAGATTTGAGGGACTAGCAAATAATGAGATTTGAGGGATTTTGTGGTAATTAAAGACGAGTTAAGGGACTAACACGCAATTTACAGTAAAGAATTTTCCCACGCTCTACCAGTCTCATCAGAGCGCGTTGAACCCGGGCCCTCGCCATGGCGGACTCCCACCCCGCCGAGGATCGCCTCAGCAACCTCCCCGGCGACCTCCTCATCCAAATCCTCTCCTTCCTCCCCTCCATCGAACTCCGCGCCCAAACCTCCGTCCTCTCCGAGAAATGGCGTCATCTCTGGACCTCGTCCCTCTCCTCGACTTCTACCCTCCCACCCCACCGCCGTCATCGACCGCTGCCTCCTCCTCTTCTCCGGCCCACCTCGTCCGCCTCCGCATCGACTCCTCCGCCGACGACCGCCCACCCGTCGCGTCCTTCGACCGCTGGCTCCGGCTTCGCCGCCTCGAGATCCGTCAACGACCTCGTTCTGTCCTTCGATGGCTTCCACCATCACCCTACTGAAAACCCCCAGCTCCCTCCTTCTCTCTTCCTCTGCCGCAGCCCGATCTCTTCTCTCAAGCTCAGCTGCTGTACTTTCCCCCGAGTTGACGATGATTTCCTAGGGTTTCCTTCTCTCAAGACTCTCTTCTTGGTGAACGTCCTCATCACTGACGAGGCAGTGGACCTCTTGATCTCGAAAAGCCCCCTTCTTCAAACCCTAAACCTCGATTGCTGCCCTGAGGTTACTCGAATCGAGATATCTCCAGCGCGAAACCCTCTCATCGAGAATCTGAAGGTGGCTATCTGTAGGATCACGGAGAGCGTCGGTATGGTGGTCGTTGATGCGCCGCGTTTGAGATTCTTTGATTACAATGGGAAGATTGAGAAGCTCAAGCTTAGGGATGCGCCGAGGCTGGTCGGAGCTGAGGTTTCCGCTTTCAGCTTGGAACTTTGCCAGTCGAAGGGGCAATGGATGCATATTCTATCAGCAATTTCGAGTGTGGAGGTTCTCTTTGTCAGCAATTGGTTCTTTCAGGTAGGGCTTTCTCTAACTCTTGAGTTTTTCTCTATTTGGTTGGTATCTGAAGTTCTAATCTTTCGTTGTAGTTTGTTCTGTGCGATGAGAAGGATGAAGCCAAATATATTCAGGAATCCATGTTTAAGAATCTTAAAAAGTTTAGTTGGGAAGGGCTTGTTTTGTGTAAGAACACCTTGCGAGCTATAGTCTCCTTCCTTAATCAATGCCCTGTGCTCGAGACACTTTATATAGATGTGGGTATTTTTGTTAAATCCTTTCTTGTTTGTTTCATGCTGTAATGTACCCTATGGTTCTCATGTTGGTTCTTACTGATCTTACTTTTGCAGCTCGATTTTTATACATCACTGATGCGTGAAGCGGAGGAACAACAAGACCAAATTGATGACTATTATCCTGATGATGATGTCGGACCTGTTGAGGTGGAACTTCGGGAGGATTCTGGCGAACCTCCTATTGAGAAGGATAAACCATTTGAGAGATTCTTTGCGGATGGTGGTTGCTCTCTCCCTCGGCTGTTAACGGCTACTATAATGGATTTCTCAGGCTTGAATGAGGAAATGCAGTTTCTGAGATTTATTTTGCAGAAAGCAACTAATTTGGAGTTGTTATGTCTAACTCTTACGTGCTCAACTGCTGGGGTAGAGGCGCTTTCTAAAAGGATATACGGTGTTCCCTTTTCTTCTCCAAATCTCAAGATAAACTTGTTTGCCAAGTGGCATTCGGATAAACTGGGTTTCAAGACATATCAGCATTTGTGGGATCTCTAAATCAGCTTGTTATATGATAAATATATCCAGTGTGATAGGTATCATGACTTATCTGATGACCAGTTTATTCTTTCTGTTTTAATAAGATATTTACATACTCAATGACTGTTGGTCTATTTGCATAGTTTTTAAAATGCTAATTTGTCTAACTAGGATATTGTGCACGCCAAATAGTTAGTTACTTTTTTTTAAACCTTTTTTTTATATCCTGAATAGAAATGATGGGATTGAATGCACTGACTATCAAGGGACTCCTACTTTAGGAGACATCATCAATGGGAAGTGGTCGTGTTATCAATGTATATGTCATAACAACACCATTGTATATGTAAAATGATCAAATTTGTTGAATCCCCGCTATTTTTGGCAATTCATCAGGCATTTTATAGTATACGTAGACTCTCTCTTTTGCAAGCATTTTGGTCAGTCTTGAATTTTTCTTCAACATATATTTTAGTTGACTTTGAAACATCAAGCCTCCAAGGTTGGAATTTCTAGCGTGAAAATGCTATCACTTATTAGAGATGTTGATGGGGAAAGAAAACTGAACTTTTTCTTTTTTGTTCTTTTTATTGTTTTAGGTTTAACTGCTCCGAATCTTTATGGTAACGATGCTTTTCATACAAAGAAAATCCTACTGGAAGCAGAAGGGAGAAATCATGTTGTTGTAATGTAGTAATTCATCAGTCTCCTGTAGCTTCTTTAAAGTTTAAAAGGTTTCAAATATCCTGGTAGCACTTTTTATTGGAAGTGTGTAGCATTTTAGTTGCTCCCATAGTATGAGGACATGATGAATCTGAGGCATAGGGAGATCCTTATCCCTTAAGCATTGTGTGTAACTTTAGAATATATAGTTATGTCTTGAGTTCTCCACCACCAATATAGCTCAAAATTGACGTGATAAGTCCTAATCTCAAACTTACCTTTATGGATGGAATGTAGAAGGATTCAGCTTTGTCAAATTGTGTTGCAATTATTTGGATTGATTCCTGTGGAACTTAACACAAAGACTATCCCAAACCATTTTCTATTGTTTTCAATTTTCATGGACAACATATGAGTTGAAATGAAACCCTAATGTAGTCTCGGTTTGAGTATAGGTGTAATGAACCTCACATGACATCAACCTTAAGGAATTCTAAACATGACAACTCTTACCCGAATCTGCTGGAAACTTATTCGAAGCGAAGCATGTTTTGTCTGGTTCGATTAGTTGCATGAAGCTATAAATCTCAATTGGTAGTACGTCACTAGTCTCACCATGCTCATCACTAAGTCTGAACCCACAATAATATGATCAGTTAGTGCACGTGTTCAGCTCCATATCGATAAAGTTTTATGGTGGCCTTGTGAAGATTTGTACATATGACTAGACATAAACGCCAATCTTCTTGATTAAATTTTTTTTGAGAGAAAGGATGGATTACTGTTAATCATAACAGTAATCCAGCCAGCTAAATTAAAGAAACTTGGCTGTTACATGAATATACACATCCCCAACCAAGAAGAATGTGCACTTGAGTTCAAACAGAATTTACAGACCAAAAGAAAACTCCTGCTCCCCCACAGAAATGACCAAAAACAGACTCCTGCTCCACCACAGCAGCTATACCCCTTCCCAAACATGAGAAAAAACTGTCAGCTACCACCACTGCAAAATAATAGACCATTTTAACTACATACAGTGTTTTAAAGATCAGAAAACAGAACAAGTTTAATATTCTGGAGAAAGAAATCATTCAAGTTGAATCACTGTATTCGCAAGCCTTCTAGCATCATTTGTAGACTGACCATCAGCAGCTCTTTTCCTTCTCCTCTTCTCCTCTCCTGAAGCCTGGCAGTTCGAGCTGATAAAGGCTTAGAACCTAACCAAAATGATGAAAAGATCAGAACTTTGCTCAAAATCTCCAGAGCTCTCTTCCTCTTGTTTGAAAAAAATTCTATCATTACGTTCCTGCCATATACACCATATAAGAGAACATAAAGTAACATCTCTTTCCACATTCCATTTAGCTCCCTTATCCATATTCCAATTATTCCAAATATCTTTTAAGGAATTCATCTTAAATTCCTTATCAATATTCAATTTATATTGAATAGATCTCCATGTAGAGTATACAAACTCACAGTCCACATCTTCTTGATTAATTCTTTTGCTAATATACCGTCTGAGAGAAAATATGAAAAAACAAGGAAAAAAATACAGGCTCCTTGTAGAAATTAATAGGATTAAGCTCACCAGTAGGAAGAAGTACCTACCCAATATTTGTGTCAGCTTAATTGTGTAAATAAATAGCATTGGCATTAGTAATTAAGTATCAAAATCTCATTAAGTCTGCAAGGTTAGATATAATTTCCTGTAAGGTTTGCCTTTTCTTGGTATCAGTATTGTGAGTTTCCATTGTTACAGTTGTTATGGATTGGAATCATTAATATATGGAATAATCATACTTTAATCACAAATTCTCAATTAATTTATTTTTATTCTATTTTTCTCAAATACAACACTATCAATTTAACTTTTGATATTTTAGAAGCCTTAAATCTCATTATATATCAGTGTTGGCCAATGTTTCTAGCCTCGATTAGTTCCTCGTTGAGCAATTTTAGGATAAACAAAAATTATACTTTTTGAATAACTAAACTAATTACAAATGTTTGACTATTATTTAACTTCTTGTAAACAACACATTAGGCCGTATTTCTAATCTCGAATAGTTCCTTCTTGATAAGTTTTAGGTTAAACAATGATTATGCCTTATTTCTAATCTGAGTAGTTCCTTGTTGGTAAATTTTAAGATAAAACTTTTGGAGTAATGCACCCATTACAAATGTTTGACTACTGTCCGACTACTTGAAAACACAAGTAGGGCTGGCAATAATAAGCGGGATCCACAACCTATATCTAGTAATTATAAGAATATGTGACTAGTAATTATAAGAATATGTGATTAGATAAGAAAACCAGAAACTCCTGAATATTTGCATTTACCGGAATATGTAAGCATTAATGTATATCAAAACCACAAAGAATTTGTAAACTATTCATGGAAACACAAGACATGAATCTCCAGATGAAGGTCTGTTATTGTTGCTTTCCATAGGGAAGTTCAAATTTTGGAAGTGCAGTTCGTAGATTCCTTTTGTGAAAAATGCATGAATTGACTAAGAAAGCACAAATGAAGCATCATAGTGGAAATGAATGATGCCGTTTACTGCTGGGGTATGCCTATATTTTCAATATTCCCAACATATCATTATCACCACCATTGCTCATCAAATGGGTTTTGGTAACCATGTTCATAGGTCTATGGAAGCATTAGCAAAGTTTTGACATCAGTCCTCTACATCAACACAAAATTGCTGGCCTAGGAAATTAAGGATAAAGAAGACACTGTTGGGATAAATCCTAGAAAATCAGTTGGTACATAGTAATATGGGTACAAGAATTTATCTGAGTGGCATGTGTTTAAATATATATAGTCAAAAGACAAATTATCCAAATTTGTCCTTGACTAAGAGACTGGAAGACAATTTTATGGCTATTATGAATATATAAATAGTGAAATTTGCAACCATGCGATCTGCTTTTTACACCAGATGAGTTAAGTCTGCTTGAATTTCACGTGCTTTGGATTTTTTTGGTAATAATCTCATTTGTCTTTGTTGTGGTTATCATTTTTTATATTTTCAGATTCTATTTCGATTTTCTAAGATAGTTCTATGGCTATTGGTGATATATCAAAAGCGCAATTTGATTTTGCTTTTGTCTGTGCAACATGTTATTGTACTTGATGTTGTGCTGATTACTCATTTAAATTTTGCATTGCAGGAGGCTAGAGGCATAGTCGACTGGGGTTTCACCAAGATAACATCCCAATTACTGACAGTCATTTGAATTAAGGACAAACACCGACTTGTCGAAAACCTTAATAATGACAGACGCATATCTGCCCTTACCTTTCTGGTACTTTGTTATAGGAACTGCCGAGGTTGACACGGGTAACAAATTTATGCTGGGAGGTCCTTTGGCGGGTTTGGCAGCTTCAGCCCTAACCATCAATAGAGGAGCTATAGGAACGACGAAACGTTTGACTATGTAAGAAAGGTTCAAGCTAAAACTCATGTTTTGTGATCATAACCAGATTGTATACAAAAACTCTGTTTAACTGTATAGAATTTGCCCATAAGTTTATCTATGGCAATATTTCTAGCTAATATGTGATTGTATATGGTTTTCAGTGTTTTCTGATCTTGTTGTAGTTCTCTTATACGGCAGCTGGATCTCCAGTCAGTCTATCGATTTTTTTTTTTTGTAGTTGTGCATGATTTTTAAAGGGTCTCTGGTGCTGTATTCTTTTTCTTCTTAAACTGCCCAAGGCCTTTGCAGTATTCTAGTATGTTCCTTATAGAATAGAGATCCTCTACATACTTGGTTATAGAGAGCTCATCAATCGTATTTCCTCGCTCAGTAGACCTCATGAATGATATTCATTATTATATATTATATAAGAAAAATTTCTAACTATGGAACCCATTGAATGAACAAATGTTATTAATTCACATAAGAATGAACAAATGTTATTAATTCACATAAGCAATTATAGAAGCTGTTTACAATCAAGGATATAGGAATCCTTTCTCTTTGTGTAATTCCCCCCCCCCCCCCCTTCCCCCTCCCCTCATTTCACTTTTTGTCAAATGAGAAAACTAGAGGGGGAATAAAACACAAATATATAGGCAGAGCATAGAGTCTTAGACAACTCACAAAATAAACATCATCATTGTTAATGGTATGAAATTTCTCTTATTACCTTCTGAACTATTTTCAGTCAAATGTTATCTCCTAAACTATCCACATTGAGCTCTGTGTGGGCAAATGACCCCCACTTAATGTTTGTTGTTGTTGTCATCATTGGCGGACCTGTTCTTGTTCAAAGTGGTTCATTTGAACCACCTCAGATTTTGAAATAGTATATATATCATATATGTTAGTTTGTGAACAAATGTAATTTGTAGCCTAGTGGTATAAGCATT